AATATATGTCTTTTCAGTGGTAGCCTAGTGCCAACAAATGTGGATTGAATCCTGGAACTTTCTCCTCTAGTTTGAATTCAATCCAAGTAGGACCTACTTAAGCAACCTAGGCCAAGGGATCCTTTGAGGTTATTTACCAGATACATAATTCAGGTTTCAGGCCTGTAGGCCAGGCTGCAGGCAGTTTATTTCCTGGGGGAAGGTGTTCATTAAATGCTATGGAGAGTCGTCTTGTGCTTTTCCTACTCTTTGCTTTTATTATCTTGGGAGTCATAAAATGTTTGTAGGAAATTCTCATTTTCTGCTTCTTCTGAAGTCATGGCTCTTGGAGTGGAGGAGTTAGCTCTGAAACTGCTTTGTTCTTTGAAGTTGGAAGATAACCCTTCATTAGACTCAAGTCATTGTAGAGTCACTACCAGGTTCTTCATCAAGAAGCTGGATTTTCCTTCTCTGCATGAGACCTGTCAGCCCCTGGAACTGGCGCATTTAACATCAAATAGTCACAGGTTTGAAAACGAAGTAGTAGACAGCTTTACCTATTTTTATAACTTCTGGTATCAAGAATGTGTTATCCAAATCATGCATGTGGATTGTGAGTATACCAGAAGTTTTCAGTATGAACCAATTGGCTCAGGAGGGTTAATCCATCAAGGCTCATTATTCAGTACATGCCTTAACTACTGGTTGGAGAAATTTCTTTCTTCCTGTTTATGCCTCTGGTTTCTTTATATGCTTTGCAAGGCAGATCTTGCATTAAGATAATCAAGATAGCCTCTTGACAATTTGAAGATGCAGCCTTCGGTGCTAATGCACATCTTTATCAACCACTTTAGATTTCACACTAGATCTTATGATGTACATACAGAGATGTAGCCCCTGCCTGTCATGTTCCTAATCCCTTCCCTTAATATGCAGTAGTTATCACTGCCAGAGACTCGATTGTCCTTTGGTTTATCCCTGTCATGGCTGTTAACATCCACACTGGAGGCTTCTGAAATATTGCACGTGGAAGTATAGCTCTTTGTAACGTTACTTTAACTTAACTTTCAGATATTGGTGTATTATGGGCACTGCCTTGTGAATCACAATGTGAAATATGGATAATATTCCCTTTTGTAATACCACTTTTCATACTTTCATTTCATTGCAGATCATGCTGTAAGACGATAATTCAACATCCATACCAGACAAATTAATGTAATAGTAGCCAGGAGCAGATGCCTTAAAGATAATGGCAAACACATAATGGTATTTCCTTGGAATAGCCTTGCTTTGGCAGACTGTAGCACTCTCAGCTTTGAAAATCCATCGGTGGAAAAAAGTGATCTTGAATAATAAGGATTCTTTTTTCTTGCAAAACAAAAAACCCAAACTTATCAGATCATCTTATTTATCTGAGAAATGTTAGGTCTTCGACTGAATGATCATTGACACCATTCGGTGCATGAAATTACTTGGGTTTTTGAGGTATTGGTTAAATTTATATCCAAGACAGTTCCGGAATGGCTTAGGTAGTGCTCCAGAGCAACTTTCTAAAATACTTTCATTTTCATTTGCACATTCTCTCAGGCTTCTTAGTCTTTGTTCAAACTTTAAAAACTTCAATTAAGATTATCTAGCATGATTTAGAAACTAGCATGAAAACCGTTTTAAATTACTGTCAGTAAAGTTATTTTTTTTTTTCATGTCAAAATAAACTAAGTGAGGCTCTCTTCCGCTGTTTGTAGTTAAATTGCGCATAGTGGCAAGCAACCAAGTGCATTGTACGTGAATGTGTAACTGTCCTTCAGCATGAATCTGTGATTTCCTCCTCTTCCCTCTGCTGGCGTAGTTTTCTTCTGGATTAATGACATAAATCAGTTCATGGAAGTGTTAAGTGAGTGACAGAGCTGAGCTGGAGGAGGGAATTGGCTGTGTTGAGCTGGTACTTCATTTTGTGTTACTTCCACCTTAGAAAACTGGTTGGGGTTTTGTTGTTGGTTCCCCCCTCCCCCCCCTTCTGTCTTGTATGTTTAGTATTGGGAAAGTGTTTCTAGTGGAGCTTTCCAAATCAACAAAAACACTGTGGTGCTAGCTATGTACACCAGGAATCATCTGCTAATTTCTTGGAGCATGTAGTAAGGAAGGTAGCACATGAAATATTAAAAATAGTAGATAAGATGTGAATTACAGCAAATCTGAAATTTAAAATGTGGAAAGTTATGATGGTCTTAAACTGAACAGAATTCTGAGTTTCACTTTAGATAGCAGAGACATGCCAGGAGATCGAGTTCCTGGTTAGTTAGTATATTAACACCAAAAAAGAGGGTGGGTGTGTTTTGGTTTTGGTTTTTTTGTTGTTGTTGTTGGTGGTGGTGGTTTTTTTTTAATAAAAGTCAGGTCATTGGCTGTTGCACTCAGTTGTTGAAAATAATCCCTCTAGTGTAAAACATGCTAATAAAAGTATAATTTTATGCTTAAGAATTAACGAGCTTACCAAGTGGATAACATACACCAGCCTTTCACCTAAGGAAAGGAAAGGAGCTGGCTCTGATGGTTCTGATACAAAGCAATAAAGCAGAGTTGTAATAGCAACGTGGGGTTTTGTGCTGCTAAGCCATGAAAGGTCAAAACTGAACATAAAGATAATGTTTCTGCAGACTGATACTGGTGACACTCCTACAGTCAAAGCTTTTGGGCCTGAAAAACACTCCTGATGGCTTGCAAGCCAGAGATTAGCAAAACATACCTGTAGTAGGTTTTTTCCAAAACACACATTTATTAGGTCGTCACTGACCTTGGGTGTCTTGTCTGTCCATTCTGGATAAATGCGCTGCTTCTCCTTCCTTGATCTGCCTGCCTCAAAGACTCTGTCCCAGTTTTTGTTGTAACAGTCACTTGTTTCAGCCTTGACTAATGAAGGGTGGGCCAAGAATGCTTGCTGCTTGCTCAGCGTCAAAATAATACTGATTTCATTGTGTGATTCCCCCTGTGGCTTTTGGAGGTGGTTCCAGTGTGAAATGATTCTTTTCGGGAGAGAGTATTTCCACATTTTAACTATCCGAAGATTAGAAAGGCAGAGATTTTCATCTTCCCCTTCTGAATGTTATGTCAGCACCAAGTAAGTGGTGGAGATCAGAAAAGTGAGAGTGTGCAAAGTAGCTAAGGGTGGGGGAGTAAGGACTGGATAATGATGTGGGGAAGACTGGTGAAAATGAGCATGTTGAGTCTGCAAAAGATCAGGTTGTTTATTTCTGCAAACAGCATATACAAAACATATTTTACAGCCATGAGCAATGAATTTGTCAAGATGAAGCCGTCTTTCCATAGTAGTTTTCTTCTCTCATGTATTCAGTATTGGTGTATTAAGAATAAGCATTTTTTTCTGGATTCTATATTGGGCATAAGGATGGTTCTGCTGAGACTGCAGTTAGAGCTTAATTGCATCATTAAAGCAACTTGCTGCAGTGGCGGATTATCAATACTGAAAAGTATTGAGCCTCTTAAATTCCTATGTATTACTGAACTGCTGGAGTGAATTCCATGTGCTTTCAGTATTAGTAGACAAGCCCTTAATGGGTTCGTATGATGGTTTCTGTAACTCTTATATCTCCCAGGAAGAGGAAGAAAATGCATAATTTCGGATTGCTAAATGGCTAATATCAGTGCCAGCTAATGGCATTGTCCTTTGGTCAAAGTGGTATGCAAAAGCTCTCACTGACAGGCAAGAGAATACCTTAACTTTGCTTTTATATGCTGTGAAATTCCCAAATAAAGAGTGCTTCCTCAGTTTTGTTAAGAATCAAGGTAAGAAGGCTGAGCACTAATAAGACTTGTATTCATACTGATGTCACTTAGAGGCAGCAACGTTTCTCTAGTTGACTGGTTTATGTCATGATCTGTGTACTGGATTTCTATGACAATTTCTTCTCTTGAGAAGTTACTGAGCATTATTTGGAGCAAAAATCATTCTCCCTGGGCTGCTTTCTGCTTTTCATCCCGTGCTTTCTGGGACAGATCTTGCTGTTGATTTCATTGTTAGCTTATAACTGTTAGTAGTCTCCAGAGTCCAGTCTAATTCTGTCATCCAAACATGTCTCTCTTTAGCTCTTTTTATAATAAGAAAAGCAGAGTAGTCTCCTGAAACTAGTCAAAAGCATTCGTAATATAAACTTTACAGATAACTGAGGCCTCACTCTACCTTCTCTGATCAATACTTTTCCTTGAAAGAAGCAAATGAAAAGGTCCATTGACCTAAAACACAATAATGTTCTTTTGGCAATACTTACTAGGAAAAACAAACATTGCATAAGTGTTGGTGATTTGAGATTACTCTGTTATACGGTGTTATGGGATTGTTTGTTGTTTTGAGGATGTCCAGTAGGAGAGAGTTTGCAAAACAAAAAAAATTCTAACAGTCAAGATAAATGAGAAAATCACACCAGATGGTTTCGTTTTGTCTACTAAAGAAAGCATGGATGTTTTGTATGGTCATAGTGTGTGGGATTACATGTGTATTGAATGTAGCCATGAGTGATGTTGCAGGAATGGTTCTCAAGTTTTTTTGGAAGAAGGGGCGAGGGAAAGTCTTTCTCTTTAGTTGTGCTAAGTGTCAAATGCTTTCAGTACAGGAAAAGGGGGGAAAAAAAACTCACCCAACTTCAGGAATCAGTAAAGGACACTAGTAGATAAGGAGAGATAAGGTACAGGTTTCTGGCAGGTATATTCAAAAAAGTTTAAAAAAAACAAGCAAACAAACAAACAAACAAAACCAAAAACAAACAACAAACCAATGCTGGAGATAAATGTTAGGTAAAGTATTCCACACCGCTACATAAATACTGCATAAAAATGGTTAGCTGATTTAAGAAAATTGCTTATATGCAGTTGTCTTTAATTTTGAACAGCATTCTTGAACCTCTGAGTATCTTCCAAAGAATTATATACCGTATGCATGCTAGCTAATGAATGAATTAAGATACGGCTAAGATGTATTAGTTTGGAGAGAGACTAGATGTTTTTGTTCATTCACTCATCAGAAACTTGCTATGTGTGCAGTAATCCTTTGTGTTAACTGGCAGGAACTAATTAGATGTACAATTTTTACTATTTATAAAGCTGTCAGCCCAGTCATTGTGGTAGCAGCTTTAATGTCCTTAAAATGTCTTTCATTCCTCACTTTTTCAGCTAAAAAATTTACAATACACAATTATGTCTATCTGATGTTTTGAGGAGATGCTTCTTCAGCGTTGGGGCAAAATCCTTCATATGCTCTGAATGCAGACATTGTCATTCATCTCAATGATTTCAACTCAATTTTATTGTGCTAGTTAAAAATTCTACTACTGAATCTTTCTTCTTGGCTACTAATATGTAGTAGGAGAAGCAAGTTCTCATCTAAAATAAAACTTCACTGTGTTATTAATCAGTATGGTTGAGGAATGTGCAAACTCCATTAGTGTTACATTACAGAAAAATGTCAGCTGAAGGCATAAACAGATTACAGAGAGACCCTCAGAAGTCATCTAGCCACTTGGATCAGATTACTGTCAAACTGATGAATGTGTAGAGATGAGGTTGTCCTTGGTAGGCTTCAAAATAAACATATAATCTTAAATCACATGGTTTAGCTAGTTTGAGCTAGTTATTGCCTTGAGAAAAGTTAATGAGATGTAATTAATGTCCTTCAATGGCAATACTGTATTTTAATCCAACAGTACAGTTCCTTATAAGAGTCCCTTTACAGCTTCTTAGTTTCTTGAATAGTTGTCTTTTTGTTGCAACATTCAGTGCATCCACTCAGAGTTTTTGTATGTCTCTCCTGTACCACAGGTATTGGATTGGATTGAAAACCATGGAGAAGCTTTCCTTAGCAAACATACTGGAGTGGGAAAATCCCTGCATCGGGCTAGAGCTTTGCAGAAACGCCACGAAGACTTTGAAGAGGTTGCTCAGGTAAAAACAATCACATGAAGAACTGTATGTTTGTCATGGAAATATATGAAAAATTTCTGCTCTGGCACTGAAGGGCTGGGCAGAGGGACCTCCACTCCAAAAAATTCAGTTCCAAGAATTGGACTATTGTGTTTCTGTTGCAAGCTTGTATTTAATTTGTCCTTTGCACTCCAGCATCAGTAAGAAAGACAAACTTCCAAAGTCATACAGAGTGGGAGCCTTGAAGCCCAACAGAGCTGCTGCTATTATTATTTATTATCATTATTTTAAAAAGCATACTTTCAAATGTTGAGTCACAGAAGAATGAAAGCTCTCCTTTTGAAGTAACTTAATTCCGTGGGATTCTAGGATTTAAACTTTTGTGTAGCCTATAAGAGAGGATGGATATGAACTGAAAGCCCTGCTTCTTGACATTAAGCTTGAGGAGCTCCCGAATCCCCACAGCAGCCTAATGGGGGGGAAGGAGGGGGACTCCTAAGAAACCAGGTGAGCCAGCAACTGGACAACCTGGCTTTGGGTTTTTTCTTTAAATACAGTTGAGTTTGTATATACCCTCCTGTTCCGAATCACTGTTACCAACGCTTTTTCCATAGGAAGACTCTAATTTTAGCCTTAAGTGGAACTGATGGTAGAACTTCAAAACACAGTTTTCTGTGAAAAAAAGCCAAGCTGAAAGAAATAGAGATACCAAGGAAGGGAGCATAACAAGAGGAAGTTGGTTTGGGTGGCAGCCTCAAAAAGGGGGCAGGAGGTGAATAAAACCCATGAGAAACTGAAGGCTAGAATCCTTCCCATTAGTAACGTGCACTGTCTGTCCAGTCTTAATGACTGGTAAGAGTAAACATCTCTAAGATTCATCAAGAAAAATATCATTAAGGTCGGGCTGATACAGTGGTCCTTCAGTCAAAACAGAAGGTGCATTATTAGAAAGTTCTGAAGTAATGTGCAGGAGCTCAGCAGTGACACCTACTATGGTGGATGCATCAGAAGTGTGTTTACAGACTGCCTGTTTAATGGATGATTAAGCTCTTAATAAAATTTTATTGTAAATATGGTCTTAGAGCACTCCAGCGACTGAGGACTTGAAATAGCATCAGAAAGCTTCTTCAGTATTGATTTCCTATAAAATTTTCCAAAATAATAAGTGTTGTTAGTGTTGTGTATACACATGCTGGATTTTCCATATGCATGCCTAATACTTCGTTTTTAATAAAATCTGTAATATTTTCCATGTGGAAACACTTATTTTTCTGGGTCGGACAAGCAAGAATCTATTTCTGTAAGACACTTAACGAAACCTGAATGATCTCATACTTAATACTGTGTTATTTGAACAAAGAAGAAAAAAATGTTTGAGTAACCAAAGGGGATGAAGTGTGTAGAATTGTTAGTGGGTTATAAACAGTTGAAAAAAATAATCTTGTTAATTTGCATTATACTTTAAAGTAGAAAGTTGTAAAGCAAATACTTAGCAAAAAGTTCCTAAAACAGAATGTTACTAGAGTTTAAAATGATCTCTTTAGGGGATGGGTGGAATTTCTATTTTTGAAGATACTGAAAACTTAGACTGGTCAAAGAACTTAAGTATACTACAGGGGACTGTCTTCCACTGACGGAAGGATGGACAAAATGATCTAATAAGTATTTTTTTTTAATCTCTAACTCTTGAATGTGTAGTGACTGCCAAGAGAGGCACACCCTCTGAGTTGTTCCGCTTACTTGCTCTAAAACTTGAGTGTAAGCAGGCCCCAAAAGGCATTCCTGTTGTTGGTGCTATGAGGAAGATTATGTTCAAGTGTAAGACAGCAATCTGCAGTCCTTGTTAAAGCATGAATAACTTTTGGCTGATTTATTCTCTACCTACATTTCTGGTTGGTCCAGGTCTTTGTGTTTTGGCTTTGGGTTTTTGTTGTTGTTTTTTATTGTGTTTTGGTTTTGTTGCCTTTTTTTAATAGGACCCTAGGCCTAATCAGGGGTTTTCAGTCAGCTCTAGTCAGAAGCTGAGAGGAAGCAGCGTCAAGTGAATTGTCAGTGGCATGGCAATGTTTTATCAAATGCAGGGAGCCAACAGTAATGTTGAAATGTTCCTGATCGAAGGCTAACTTCTGATTTTGAGAGCAGCTAAAGTTACGATTTCTTTTTTCTTCCCTTCTGCTTCCTCCCTCTTTTTTTTTTAATGTGAATGAGGTGCCGATTCCTCAGCAGCATTCAAAGAGATGGTGAAATAAGCTGTGTGTAGAACAGAAAAGATGTTCCAGAGTCAATGGGCTGTGGGCTCACAAATTATTCACTTTAAGTTCATGTGAAATAAAGGCTTGTTTCTCTTTATTTGGCACTTTTTATTACCACTACAGAAACACTAGATAGTCAAAACTCAGGCAACTAATAATCCTCCCCAAATTCCAATGTATTGACATTCATGCTACACATACACACGTCGACTTGCACCCACTATTGTAAAGTTGAGTATTGCTTTTTTCATGTGAAGCCTGTCCAGTTCACTTTCTACTTTTTTTCCTTTCTTTCTTCCCCTCTCCCCCGATCATCTTTGTATCCATGAGACCATTTAGTCAAAGTGTCAAGACTCCAGATTTTGACATAACTGATACACTGGCGGGCACAGATTTTCAGCTTAGAAGCACTGGATGCAGATCAATATTATGGTTGTACTTCCCTCTGCATTTTTGTATGAAGTTCAAAGCCAGCTTCTCGGGTTTCAGCTATGATCGATGTCTGCTTTTTCACAGTAGTCTACATTCAAAAAGCATGAAAGGTGTATGGCAAGAATTAATTAGTGAAATCTTCTTCCACCGATAAGGTTTTTTTCTCCATCCGCAGACTGCATCTGAGTAAAGAACTCAAGTCAGCTTGGTGCAAGAGACACACAAGAAAGATTCTTCCAAACCTCATTTGAATACACCTATCATTTCCCTACCACCACCTTTACCACCTCCTTTAAGGCTGCAAAAATAGTCTCTGTACTTGAACTGGTTCTTCACTTTACTGTACCTATGCATGGCTGTAATACATCGAACTAAGGGTCCATGTCTTACATTAGCTTGTGACAAAGAAAACGTGCACAAAGAGAAGAGACTGTATGCATAAAAAATTACCTTTAACCTCCCAGTTGTCTAGGCTTATTTGATGCCTCTAACTGAAAGATGCATCAGAACCAGTGTTTAATAGTCACTGATGGACTTTCTTCGCTTAATTAGGCTAGCTACTTTTTGAACCCATTTATGCTCTTGGAATGTATGCCGGATCCTGTGGCAATGAGTTATGCAATTTAATTGCTCCTTAGATGAAAAGTGCTTTTGCTTTTTCATTTTAAGTGTGTTGTCTGATGCTTAAATGTGATAGCATCCACTGTATTTAATGAGTAATCTATCTTAATTTTCTCTACCTTTCATGATTTGTATACCTCTGTTAATCTCCCTCCATCCATGTATCTCTCTGTTCCCCCTCCATAGTGCAATAAACTCCAGTTTGTATGAAATTCAGTCCATACCTCCACTCACTTCTGTTCCTGTATTTATTGTCAGTAGTACTCCTTTCTGCACTAGTCTCTTAAATTTATCCTTTGACGTTTCTATGATGTGTCATTTTATATGCTTTCTAAAAATATGGTGTTTGTTTTTTCTGAAGAATACGTAGAGAAGGTTTCTCAACAGGAAGACTAGGAAAACGATGGGATATGTTGGTGGGGAAGGTGGTAAACTCTCCGTTATGAAGAGTCTTTCAGCATTTTGGAGAAGAACACCTATTAAAGATTTGAGTGTGGTGATCACGCCTTGGGGCACAGAGGGATGGACTAGAGGACTTCTTAAAGCTCTGATTCTTTTCCCCTGGGATTTGGGGAGGGTGTGCTAGTGGAGAAATTCTGAGGAAGTGTTAATCTGTTTCAAAACTCCTTGTTGAATTTGTCACTGTGAAGGCTCCTTTGTCAATTTAGGAAACTGGCATAGGCAGCTTCAAGGGAGAACCCCTGCTCTCTCTGTCTAACCTTCTGCTTTCTAACTGGTGGCTGCCCCTTGGGACCAACATTTTCAAAATCTTCACGTTAGTACTTTTTTCCCTCTAAGCATTGTTTAGAAGTAAGCAGAGAGTTGGGAAAGGCAGTAGTTAGTACAGCACGCCTATTTGCTGTGACTTCTATTCCAAAGGGCAGTTATTATCTACCAAGATAAATATTTATATTATATTTCAACTCTACCTGGAAGAGACATTTTAGTGATAAGGCATGTGTCTGCTATTAAGGTTTGAGAATTGCAGCCCCTTTTGAAGCAGCATCTAGGTTGTGATCGTTTCTAAGCACAGGCAACTCACCATCCAGTTTACAAAAAGAGAAGTCTGATGTGCCTGGGCCTGTGTTACGCGGAAGATGCTCCTGGAATTCATAAACAATGCTTCACATATGAGATAAAGTTTTCATTAAAATGGGAAACTTCTGTTTCAGCCATCTGCAGCTGGGTGTGGCTCTCTGGGTTGATGAAGTAGTTGTTGTTCAAGGAGTGCCTTAAGGCTCTTCAGCCTTGCCCCTTGAACACGTGAGCTGCGACCGTGGAAGTCAAAACACCAAAGCACAGATCAGAGTGTTTTCTGGGCCAACATGGCCTGAGCCAGTGATCTGCAGCGTTGAGAAGTGCGCTCCCCACTGAAAAATGTAGGTTTATGTTAGTCTCTGAAGGCTTTCCCAGGGAAACTGGGGAGGAGTTCTCTACCTCTCCGTGCAATTAAAAAGCTGAAGGTTAAGGAAGGGCTAAAATGCACATAAGTCAAAATCGAGGAGCAGCTTGGATTGAATTCCTTACATAAATAGATCATAATAAATGAAGGGGGAACTCCCCTCAAATACACGAAAGCTGCACTGAGTCATGTAATCTGTCCTGGGCTTGCCTGGTGATTTGCTTGAGACCCTGGAGCAGAGCTCTTATTAACTGCCCCTTAGTTGAGTTTTAGGGCCGGGCTGGGATTTAACTTTTGTGGATATTGTAACGTTAATTGGAGGTGTGATACTATATTTACGGCAAAGAAAAGCACATTTGCATAGCCTTAATTTATCTTGACAAGCAGTGTTTTTACCTGATGTAATTGAGGTTGGGAGAAGATGGAAGGGAAAAGAGAAGGGTATAGTTTATATTGTCAAGATATTTTTTTTTAATAGTCTGTAGTGCAAACTTATCAGGAGACCTGATGTGGTGACATAAGCAAAGCTTCTTTAGTGTAGACTTGGCTTCCATCTGTTTTCTCCAGAGGTTAACATCCTTCTATGCTTTATTGATGAGCCCATTTTGAGAACCATTCTAAGGCATGAAAACCCAAGGTTAGGCTCAAAAAGAGCATCCAAATTATAGCAGATGTTTGGAATTGGTCCTGTTTTGAATTAATGAGAAAGATATAGGTGCAGGCTGCAAGTTCTAAGCTTTAAGAGTTGTTAAACATCTCTCTCTTCTCTGGACCACAGCGTTCTCAGCACATCAGGTACCAGACTTCTCCCATTCTGTTCTGTGCTGTGACCCTGGGACCGTTGATCTGACTTTGTTTATCCTGTGACGTACTGGGACAGGATTCCCCTCTGACACTCAGCCATAGCTGATTTGTAAACCGTCCTCTATTGCTGCTGTTTCGCAAATGGCAATCCACTTGACGTGTGAATTTTGGATACCTCACTTCTGTAAGGATGGAGAGAAATTTTCTCCTGTGCCTTGTCACTTTCCACTTTCCTGCTTGGATGTGTCTATTTGATGCTAAGTGTCTCTACCAGCAGCTAGGACTTTCTTACTTCTAATAATACACATTTTGAAAGTCTTCTGGCCTTCACTGTAGTGATTTTTCCAGTGTTGAAATAGGCCAGTTTGCAAGTAATAAAACATTTAATTTAGGGCGATCTTTATTCTGGTTGTGAATATAAAATACCAGTTCCAAGGAAGAGTAAATAGGCTTCCAAGTTCTGGATTGAGGAGACATTTGAATAGGCATAAATAAGGAGCTAAGGAATGAATTTATTCACAGTTAAATGAAAAAGTATCTAGAAATATATAAAAAAAACCCTTTAGTAAGATTATATTCTACTAAGTTTAAAAAAAGAAGAGAGAAAAATACATTCCAAGGACCTTTTTGTCTTTGTGTTTTCCTTAGTTGAGTGGCTTTAAAATATACCAACTGAATTTTCTTTCATTTAATCCTGTGAAACAAACTTATTTCTCTACAGAACACATATACCAATGCAGATAAGCTCCTAGAAGCAGCCGAACAGCTTGCTCAGACTGGGGAGTGTGACCCGGAGGAAATTTATCAAGCCGCCCATCAGCTCGAAGACCGGATACAGGATTTTGTTAGGCGTGTGGAGCAACGCAAGATCCTGCTGGACATGTCTGTGTCCTTTCACACTCATGTTAAAGAGGTAAAACTGCTGCTAAGTTGTGGTCACAGCTTTAAGCCTTAAAACCGTTATTGTCCAATGTTACTTTTGTTGTTGGAACCCTGCCATAGCAAGTCATGAACCCCTATTGTACGATGAGTTTTGGTTTGCAATTCACAGCAGATTGGGGGCTGAGCTGGGGTGGCTGTTTGGTTTGTGGATTTAGTTTAGTTTAGTTTTTTACTTTCACAAGCAGCTTCTGCCTCCTTTGTTGTGCAAGTACACATGCTTGTCCCGTCACGGGGAAGGGGGGAGGGTCAGATGAGGGAACTGACACAGCTGAAAGACAGCATGATGGGGAGATATTGTGCACTTTTGGGTTTGGTTTTTTGGGGTTTTGGTTTTTAATCCAACCAGCTCTCCAGCGCAGTTAACTGAGTTGTCAGACACATGGTTAGACTGACACGGTTCAGGAGACTGAAATGCATGGCAGAAGCACAAGGCTACTTAAGGCAACCCTGCTGCCCAGAGAGACTTTGTTTTCTTTCTCTGTTTTACACATTGTATTTTGATCTTGTGTATTGAAGGCTCTTCACAACCTAAAGAGCTTATCTGAGAAGGACAATGATTTGCCTCATGTTTGCAATTTTTAGTCTCCTTCAAAGGTTGAACTGATACACCAGGAAAAAGAAAATTCAGCGAAACACAATTTTCAGCCAGAGCAGTTTTCTGGTCTGATTCAGAACACAGATCATACGAATTTATAAGCTTATGGGAGAGGGTGGAATAGGCTAGAGAAAAAATAAGGACTTCAGTAAGCCGTTTTGGTTAAAGGTAGTGGCAAATTTCAACAACTGTAGATTACTTGTTTTCTGTTTAGAGCTCCTGTTAAATCTTCTCACTGCTCAAACTAGGTGAAAATACGAAACACTTCTGGATCACAGCATGTCAGAGTATGTGTCTTCCTTCCCTTCACCCTACATCAAGAAATGGTCTGTTCAGTGGGGAAGTATAGTATTCAAAGTAGCTTCTTCAGAAAAACCTTGTAGAGGATAAGGGTGGGAGTTTTTTGTATGTGAAACATCTGCTTTGCACTTGAAACAAATGCAGGAGGTAGTTGGTCTTTGAGGGAGGTCAGGATTGAATTACTTCTTAGCTCTAGACATGAGTACATAGCTCCCCCATCAGTTTTCTGTTAGATGCTTCCTTGCCGATATACTCCCAGGACTCTGCTTGTTTAAACAAAACATAAAGGCTGTATCATAAGCTATTCTTATGGGGCAACTTTTTTGTTTCACTTTCCTCAAGCACATAGTGCTGTTCCATTACCTGTTTTGATGCACAGGAGCAGTCAGCTGCTGAAACATGTTCACTGTTTCTATAGATTTCTTCATTATCTGTTTTTCTTAGCATCAAGAAAAGCAGCTGGAACGGTATTTAAATGGATACAATTGGTTGTAGTGATGAAAGATGGATACTGTAAAAGGATTTGCAAGGAAAGGGCTTAAAAAAAATCCAAAAAAAATGAAAGGCAGACTGATCTGTGAGTCACTGTTGAGTAATTCTGGGCGGCTGATCCAGATGTGCTGGAATGTTGCCACTGCTCCCCTAGATAATAATGTTTTATTGAAACAAAAAAAGATATTCTGTATCTTGATTTATTTCTTTGGGAAAATGGATATTATTGTGACCCTGTAAGTGCACACAGCTGTTCCTATGGCAGCGTCATTGCAGTCTGGACTTTGGGGGAAAGCTACTGTAGCTGATGTACACATGTTGATTTTTTTGTTTTTGTCATGTGGCTGACCTCTATACTTAATAAAGCAAGGAAAATGAAAAAGAGTACTGATTTGTGTAAGCAAGACTGTCCTTTTATTTATTTGCATTCTACTTAACAATATAGATGAGAGAGTGAGGCAGGTGTTCGTATTTAGTAGATTAGTCCTTTGGTTAAGGTGCAAAGAAATAGCAAGCTCAAAGCTGTCTTGTGCTTTCTGTATTCTGATCTGTTTTCAAGAGCACGTTGTTTGTTATCAAACATGCGTGTGGAGTGCTGAGAAGGCATCACAAAGCAGATGGAAGATAAAAATGCCCTAAACCTGAAAGTCATCCATGCTTTGTTGGCAGGAGAATTGCATTTCTCCTGCAGGATGTGGAAAGTCGCTGAATAAATTAATGCATACCTGTAAGCATGTAACCTTTCTGCTGTATGGTGGAGGGAAGAAATTAATGTGCATGCTTAGCTGTTGAAGAGAGGAGTTTGAGTAGTAAGATATTATGCTAGTTGTTGAACCAGAAAGAGATGTTTCAGTTGTTAAAAACAAACAAACAAACAAAAAAATAAAAACCAAACAAGCAAACCAAACAAATCAAAACAAAACACCACCAACACGTTTTGCCCTTCAAGTATTCAGGGTGAATTTTGTTTCTTGTATCTTTTTTGTGTTTTCCTGGTCTAAAAACATAGGCATGAAGAGTAAAAACCCTGTTTGTGTGTGACAGTTTGGAGGGAACCACAGAGCTGAGTAAAGCTGGGAATCTGAGTTGTTGGCTGTTTTGAGGCTTTGAAATCTGGCTCCAATATCCATCCAGTCCCTTGATTTTTTGAAGTAGGATGTTGTGCTGTGTTTTATTCTTTCCCCAGGAATACTTCATGTTGAATGAATGCTCCCCATCTGGATGAGACCATTCCAATACTACTTCTCCCCTGTAGCTTTACATAACCTTTATACTTGACACAGAATTTGCCTGCAACTTTTCCCAGCTTCCCTGGGAAGCATCAGCCCTGCAGCATCTGTTACTGTTACTCTGTTCACGCTTAGTAAATCAGCACAGTTTCTGCTTTCAGGAGCAGCGTACTTGCTGCAAAAGCAATCGATCGTCTTGACGTGTCCTGGGAGTAACAGACTTTGCCATACCTGTGCACAAAGCAGCTGTGTCATGTGTGTGCCTGGTAGGATGCACATTGGAAATGATGGCTGTCTGTAACGTTTCCAGAAGTTCTGTACCCAGGTGGTTACAAGCTGATAGAGCTCCCTGTGGCTTACAAAAGTCAGAAAACAACATATAAGTTCTCAGACTCCTCATAGACTAACCTCAATAGACCACATTTCTCATTGGGGAAAAAAAGGATGTATTCAGGGAAGCCAGAAATATGATATTGTGTAATGGTATCACCATTACTCATTTTTCTTAATGGTGATCCAAGAAAATCAGTTGCTTGCTATATATAAAAATTGTGATTCCATGCTGTTACGTTATTACTAGTTTTAAGTTTGTGAGGTTGTGAATATTGATTTTTTTAGCTCCCATGCAAACGGTGAGAAATTTCAATCTATAAGCCAGATTTTTCAGTAAGTGATGTACTGACGTTAAGCCGTGCACTGGTGAGCTTTGAAAGTGTTTGGAACCATAAACATCCCTATCAGAATCTTTGCATTGAAAGTACTGTGTCCTGGCAGGTTCCCAGCCTGATAATGGATATAATGCAACTGAACATCCGAAACAGTTGACCATTGCAAGACAGTGAATCCCTTATGGCTTTTGTGCCTTTTGACATTTAATAATCTGGGGAGGGACAAGGTGAGAAAAAAATTGCACAGATAAAAGATATGTTTCATAAAGAAACGGTTATCGTAAAAGGTTGTGTGCAAAACATAGGAGCAAGAGTCATGGTAGTCTTTGCTGTGAAATCTGTCACCAAGTAGGGATGAACAGGGTTTTGGTGTGAATTCAGATTCTTCCGTACACATACATACAGGCACACATGCACACACACTTGCTCTGAAATGGCTCCCTCAGCATCTATGAGTGGGAAGACTGAAATCCTGGCCAAGCCAGGTGTTTGTAGTAGTGCCAAAGTAGAGCAACAGATATTTTCCTAACTGGAGTCAAGTGTGGGAATACAGACCAGGGCTGCATGTATGTGGAAGAGAATGATCTCTTAAGAGCCTGTTGGCTTTTTGCATATAACCTTTTGTGTGTATTCTGACAAGTTGATTATAAAATAGCTCAGAGCGCTTTTTATGTATACACAATATGCTTAATGGTGTTACTAGCTGTCTCTCTTCTTTTTTTCATCTTACTCAAACTAAACTTTACACCAGAATAGACTGAGGTTGAAACAAAGAAAAAGGAAGTGGAATTGGCTAAGATTTCAAATACAAAACCTCGCTGTTCTGAACAAAAGTAATGAAACAGTAATCTGTGCAAGCTGTTGAAGGAAGGTGGCATCGTTTTGAGGGTGCCAATGGATGGGAAGGCTGAGGAGGCCTTGCTCTGGCCATAATGCTGCCAAGTAATTCATATCTAGCTATGAGGCATGTGTATTTAATTCACAAAAGCTTGTTGATAATGGTCTTGCTTTGTCTTATGACTCGCTGCCAGAAATATGCCCTGCTTTGCATTTTCTGGTATGGAAGGGTGTCCATCCGTGCAGCCTTTCATTTGTTCCATCCCAGGGTGGATCCTGAGGTGACAGACCTGGTCTTCTGGTTGCCTGTCACTCCGGAGTGTTTGAGTCTTCTGTGCTGGTGATCTACAGCTTACGTGTGAATGTCGTAATAAGGCTGCTCTCTCCTCTGCAGGCCCTTTCCAGGCAGCAGAGCAGCTTTCGAATGCCCCCATCGAAGTGTGAAGGCTTTGTCCCTTGGGCTTTTGTGCATCTCTAATATTTCTCTCGTGTCATTATAGCACAGCAATGCCCAGTGTGACAAGTCTGGCAAAATATATGAAGTGCAGGCTCTGGTCAGTACTTTGATATGCTGGTTGTCTTGAATCTGAGAATTGAGGAGGACAGTGTTTAGATCTGAAATGAGAGAAACACAATCAGTGGCAGGACAGTAAAGTGTGTTGCGGTTTACTGGTTTGACAGGACTGGAATCCAGTTACTCAGCACAGATTTTCTCTCGCCTTTTTTTCTATACTGGTAGCTACTTTTCTTGAAAAAAGGGACCAAATTTAAGTCCAAGTTTTACTGGAGTAACGCTAAGTGCTTGAGAGAAGTGAGGCAGAAATAGGCCTTTAAGCTGTGTGAAGCTATGGTATAGAAATTTTTTTCTTGTTCAGTTAAGAAATGGGATGAATGCTAACAGGGTACTATAGTTGATGTAATTTTAGGAAGATGTGAGAAACTTGGTTTTGCTTCAAGGATGAATTTATTCTGAATAGGAAATAGATTCCATTATAATTGTAGAACAGATAGGGATATTTGAAGCTTTTTAAGATAATTAAATCTAATTTTCAAAAAATATCCATGCATTTAGCATCTTAAATGTCACTGAAAGACCCTGGAAGACAAACTCCTGGGGATTTAACATCTGACATTTTTTGTCTTCAAAAAGACACAGTTTTTGTCCACGGCGTGTCCTGAAAGCCAGAGCTTACAGGCAGACACACATCCACCAGCCCCCTTCTGTGCCCAGATATATTGGGTTAGGGAATACTATTGCAACACTTGGCCCTGTACAAATAATAGCTCCTTCAACAATTGTGCCTGTGCTGATACACATACTGCAACACCGTGCTGGGGGGCAGGGGCAGAAAAGAGGAATTGGCAATTTTTAAATGCAGACACTGTGTGCCTTTCTTTGTCTTCCCCTGCTGAAAAGGCTGACTGAATATCCAAAACCCGTTATTATAAAAATGAAAAATAAAATAACTTGCAAAAGAGACTTACAGATATTTTACCCTAATAAAATAACTCTGTGCACTTGGGAAGGTATTTACTCAAAAACAATTGTTCTCTGATTATATTCGCCAAAATACTGCAGGGTCTTATTTAGTTGCAGGAGATTGCAGGGATGGGACTTAAATGGATAGAGGCCCATGATGAAAACACTGAAACTTCCAGGATGTTGCAGACAATTAAAATAATACCATCTCAGTGACTAATGGCATGCTCCCAAGAACTTAGGAAAGAGGTAGCACAGGATGCAGGCTCATTCAAGCAGATGTTTCTTAGTCTGTGCTATATTTAGATCAAGAAAAAAAAAAATCTGCTGGGTAAAACATTTGCCTGTCAGGGATTCAGAATTTGATTTCCCTCTCCCATTTTAATTCTGATAAGATGTGAAGAGCAGATGAAAAGAGCAAAAGAGCCTCCTTCTGTGACTGGATTGAGTTATTTATACGGTTTTCTCACTGTACGTTAGAGCTGTCTTGCCGCTGGATAAAGTTCTTACTGAGTTCACAGGACTCGGTGGTTTGTTTAGGGATCTTCGTGCTGCTTGTTTTACAGAAAATAGAAAAAAAAATGCCTGGAAGTTGCTCAAAAGGTCACACTCAGAGAAAGTTAATAGCTTTTTAATGACAAGTTTGTTTGTTTGTTTGTTTGTTTGGTTTTCCCCACCGGATTTTTGTTGCCAAGCTCTCTCTTATGGAATAATCCGTTACCTCGGAAAATCATTGCACTATAAAATCTGTAGTTCTGCACTGCTGAACATGTATGGGTAAGCTCCAGTCTCTGTTTACCTGGTTGCTTTCTTTCGGCTTTGCTGTGCAACCTTGTAGTGTCTTCATCCTTAGTTTTGTATCCGAAAACAAGGTAATTTATGTAATTTCCAGTATATCCAGTGCTCATTCTGGTTTTAAAGCTGTATACAAACCAGCCGGCTATTGCCACCCGTTATGAATTAAGCTCCTCTCAGTAAATTGCATGAATTTCTATCCAGCTTTAATAACCTGGCAGTTTTGTTCATCTGTGTTGGCTTTATTCTAACTTTTGTGTATAAACATCAAGGTTATTTTGAGGGGAAGCTGTTTGTCAGAAACTTACTTAGCAGAAAAGTGTAAAAAGCTTATTTGGTAATGTATTAGAGTAACTTTTGCTATGGAAGTGTCACAGAGCTGTTTAGTCCCTTCAGAAATGGCTTAAATTGTTCCACTTTCAACAACGTATGAATCACAGCTAGACAAGTAATGCATACTAATTACTATCCTTTTCTTTCTGCACATTTGTAAAATGTTTTTCCAGCCCAAGCAGTGGGCGATTCAGCTAATGAAGTAGGCAAATGCAGTGTATTTTTGAGCCCTTTGGTACATTGGGGGCAAGATACCATGTTTACACTCCTGCTGTGCTGAGCAGGCACTAAGCCAGTCGGCATAACACTCTGTTGTGCTAGTGCCCATGTCTTTCTGCTCTAGGCAGGTGGTGTTGCTTTGAACTGGCTACTCAGAAGGAAAAGTCTGTTTGTTCAGTGTTGGCTTGGTCTCCAGCATCCAGGGTGAGCTTTAAGGGAAATATTCGCCTGCACAGTACACCACCAGCCCAACGCTAACAGGTTTCGTTGCTCCTGCCAGGTCATCTCCACCCAGTTAGAGAAGTGGCTGAAGTGTATGGGGAGAATAAGAAATGCAGAGGTGAGGTGTCCCTTGTACAGGTGTGACACAACCCAGCTACAAAAGGCATATTGGAAAGAATTGAAGTGGCTCTTAGACCCGCCTTCAGCCACAGTGCAGGTGCTTGTAAGGGAACCAAGGGGCAAAGTTGATATAGTCCAAGAGACTCAAAATGGCTTTAATTCCAGTTTGTCTGTAATAAACATCTCTGAAAATTGGGCCCTTTATAGACAGGGCAATAAGGGTGAGGTAGAGCTCTTCCAGCCAGCACCAAACACGAGATCTGCAGTCAACAACAAAGTGTTACTCTCAAATGAATATATTTGCACAGTTGCAAGCTGCACTGGTTGTGCGTACGCATCAGCTCACTTGGAAGGTCTCTAACACTGTGTCCTGTTATTACAGCACAGACATAAGCTTCATAATCTAAGAGAGGAATAAAAATATGTCTGCTGGACATTGAAAACTGAGTAAAGTTTTCAGGTTGTATTGTTAGGCTTCTTGCTCTTAAGTTTCATTTGTCTCAAAATGAAATTTGCATTCCTAAGTATGCATTTGGGAAAAAAAAAAATTTGGATGCCACATTGGGTTATGCTGGAATGAATGTTGAAGAGTGCTTTTGACCCACTTGCTAAGTTCTGTTGATTTGTGCCCCTTTTAATAAGAAAGACTGCTGTGGCTTGAGCTTGTGGTGTTTACGACTACGGAGTTGCATTCAAATCTGTGACAGGCGTTGTCTTTGAAGCATATGAGTAGTCAGAATAACACAGTGTGTATGAATAGGCAGTTCCGTTTTGGGGGGGGGGGGTAGTAGATTTGTCGAAAAGAGTCTGGTTAAATGTCATTAATTCTTTCCAATTTATGAAAATTTCACCTATAGTTTGGTTAACTCACAACCTACCTCAGGAGGCATGTAAGGCTCTAAGATATAAAAAAATAGCATTTGGTTTTAAAGTAAAGCTTCAAAGGAACTGATTAATCAAGATCTAGAATCCTTCACTGAATTTTCTATTTTAATGTAGCTCCATTGGTAGTTAGGAAACCTTTATGATCAGAACATTACAGAAACAGCAGCATGAAATGAGTATTTCTGTAGAAAAAGTTAAGCAAAGAAATAAAACATTCGTTTTTTCTATCTTTTGAAATTAAGCCAGTTTGCTTACTGTCTGTATTTTAACTATGTTAACCTTTTAATTAGGGTCAAAGTTAATAAAGCATATTTGTATCTCTAATATGTATAAAGGCAGAGATTAAAATGTAGTCAAAATCTTAATACTTTCAATCAGAACAGAGTTCTTCCTTCAGGATGAAAAACAAACTCTAATCCTTGTTCTTGGAATCGCAGGGTTTGGGATGCGATGGTAAAATAGAGAGGAGGGACCCGGTGTGAATGCTTCCAGCCAGCGTAGCTGTTTTGTTGTGCTCTTAGTGCTGCACATAGGAGTGCGGCAGCAGGCAGCCGTGCTCCCTCTCTCCAAGCAGTGTTTTTATCAGTTGCACAATAGATGGTTGATGGTTTGTTGATGAATAATTTTCACATGGAGCTTAGGATGCAACAGGTTGCCTCATGAAATTGTGGAAAAGAACACAGTAGGGTTCAAGTGACCAGTAGTGACACGTAGCTAGCATGTACCTGTGGATTTTTCCATAAGCTGCCATGTGTGGGCAGTTCTGAACAGGAATGTGTGCACATGTTAAATAGAGGGGGGGAAAACGTTGAATTAACCGGTGGAATTACTTGTGATGATTTTTGTTGTAATAGTGCAAAATTGAGATCAAGAGGGTAAACACTATAGCAGTAGGGATGATGATAGAAAAATAACTTCTCACATCTGATATCTCTCTGTAATTTGTTTTCTGAAATGCCCTTTTCTTTTCCCTTTTTTTGAAGGCCACTGAAAAGTCTTATGTTATCTGTGTGCATGTGTCAGCCTGGCAGTGTAAATTTGATGGTGGCTACAATACATCTCCCTTCCTTCCTTCCTTCCTCCCTTCTCTCAGGGAGTGTTACCATAGCATTTCCCTCCCAGGGACTCTCTCGCAGAGCTGCAGATGGGATTCTCGCTATGAACTCTCTGCGGCTCAGTCAGATACACTCAGTACTGTAGAAGGAAAATGGGAAAGAAAGGGTGACTTAGCAACACGGATAAAGCTTTCCTGGTATTTCCAAGAAGCGAAAACCTTAATTGAAACAAAGGCTCGTTTCCATTAAATTGAGGATGGGCTTTTTCTGTGAAGAGAAACAAATCCTGTTTCTCCCCCCCACCTCTGTCTGTTTTCTCTTGTCCAGGGAGACTGATTTGGAATAGTGACTGCCTGATCCTGGGACTTACGTTTCTTTTTTTTTTTCCCCTTCTCCTTTAGCTGTGGACATGGCTTGAAGAGTTACAGAAAGAACTGCTTGATGATGTCTATGCTGAGTCTGTGGAGGCTGTCCAAGACCTGATTAAACGTTTTGGTCAACAGCAACAGACCACTCTGCAGGTTACAGTCAATGTCATAAAAGAAGGCGAAGATCTTATACAGCAACTAAGGTAAAACAAATTTCTGTTTAAATCTCTTCTGGTGTACGTCTGATATTCTGTGAAGCTCTTTCTGTTTTGAGGGTAGAGATGATGACTACAAGATATGCTATAAATAAAACTTGTAAATATTAGGACTACAATGATGTTTCATGCTGTACTGATGGTCTCTAACCCTCTGTTTACAGGAAGCTCAGCTTATAAACACTACCTCCACAAGAAGGAGATTTTGTTTACATAAGCTACCTTTGTGATAGGAGCAGTCGTATGTCTTTGTAGTCTGACATGCAGGGCTCCACAGCGTTTTGAGGTCTGAGCAGAAGTCTTTTTATAATGAGACACATGATATTGTTTTGCAGGCTGACAAGTAACTTTATTGTAAGTTTGAAGTCCATTTCATTCAGTAACAATCTAAATAAATTTGGGCCCCAGCTGCACTGGTACATGTCCGCTTTGCTGCAGGAGCTGATAGTATCATATATGAATTTGCAGGGTTTAAACTAAAGTAAAAGATTAAGTAATTTTTTTTATTATTATCTAATTTTGATTTTTTTCATTGCCAGGAAGGTTCAGTGAATAGTTATCATATGCCACTTCCTTTTCACAATATAAGGGTTTGTCTCTGGTTTTAAATTTTATTATTCCTGTAAAAAGAATGTCCTTAAATGTTGAATTAGTCAAAAAAATGAAAGTAATCTAATTTCCTAATGCTTTTTCAACTACTAAAACATAATTTGGACTTTTATTAACAAAGATGTACAGACTTAGCTTTCATGTAATATGACTTGCACTGAACTTATCTGAAACAATCTTACATTTTGTGGTCATGTATAGCATCCAAATTGTATGGGGTTTTTTTTCAATAATACTCTTTTTTTTCTCCTCCCCGCCCCCCTTCCCCCTCTCTCTGCTTTGAATAGGGATTCTGCCATTTCTAGTAACAAGACCCCCCATAACAGCTCGATCAACCACATAGAGACAGTCCTGCAGCAGCTGGATGAGGCCCAATCTCAGATGGAGGAACTTTTTCAAGAACGCAAGATCAAGCTTGAGCTGTTTCTGCAGCTCCGTATATTTGAAAGAGATGCAATAGATGTGAGTGTCTGCTCTTGGAGTTGCACTGCACTTCTCTCGTGTAGGAAAGTTTATGCTGAGATGATTGTGTAGCTGCATTGGCATGTGGCTCAAATGACTGATAGACTTAGTTCTTACCTGAACTAAGGCTTTATCTTGTATGTGAAAGTGTCAGGAGAGTGCAGAGCTGAGCTTTTTGATATTAACTCCAGCTCTCATTGGCTTCCAGTGGGTCTTTAAGCAAGTGTCTTGTAAAATCGTAGTGTACCAGTTGCTTCATCTGGTAAGTGGTTTTAATATCAAGCTACCTTGATGTAACTAGTATGCTTACAGTTAATATGAATAAGACTTGCGAGATGGTTTAGTACAAACCCTCTAAACTGTTGCTTTGTAGTAACATCCCTCTTCTCTTTCTTTTCCAATTCAGCAGTCTCTTTTCAGTTGACAGCTACAAGTGGTGGTTAGAATTCTGTTTTAATCTCCGAGGATGTTGTAAGAGATGTTTGTCTGTCTTTTTTTTAAATAAGATTCTTTTCCACCTCTGAAAATAATGCAAAAGCAGTTGTAGTGCCACACCCCTGCAAAACTTCAAGAAGTTTTGAGACTATCCAAATCTTATAGGAGGGTTACAGCTTATCGTTGGAAAGTTTCTGTTTGTGTGCAGAGACATGCAACAACCAGACATGAAACTCCACATGGAGCTTAGGTTAATAGAATTGCATTATAAAGCTTCAGCTAAGTTGATCATATGACTTCTGTAAAACCACTAGCACTGTACACAGTGACTGAAACTGAGTTGGTGCCTCAGAAGGTTCAGGGTTATCCATTGGTAAATGATCCAGTTTGAGTATATAGGTGGCTTATCTCGAGACTCTGGAAAACGGGAGTTACGGTGATAATTTTACCCCTTTGCTTGTATGTAGTAAAAGCTGCAACTGTTGGTTAGGTACAAATGGTGTAAGGGCAAAGAGGCAGTCGGCAGAAGTGATAGCTTCTCAGGGTTTGTTTGGGTTTTTTCTTAAAATCAGGATTAGATATAATGGCTGAAGTCTGGTTTAGCTAAGCACATTATTAGGAGCAGTGCAAGAATAGTCAGACACAGTTCCTTGATCTGGGCCCGTAGAGGAAGTGAGAGTGTGCGCTCTACCCTAATAACAGCTCTGGTGTAAAGGAAGACTAAGAAGGTTCTCTATTTTGCAGTTCACACTGAGGAGGTGAAACTAGTCTGCAGGGAGTTTACTACTTTGATTATGTGGGAGTAGCTATATTCAGTATGCAAGGGTAAGGCTTAATAGAATTGTGATTGTAATAATTAGTTGGATGACTGGTGTATGTGGAGGAACATAGAAGGTATCCCCTTTTATAGGACTGTCAGCAATTTTACAGTCTCTGCAGATGTGTGCTCGATGGGTTCTGTGTCATGTTCTCAGAACAGTTACTGAGGAAATGGCAGCTGTGGGGGGCAAGGCATATACCAAGAAAATTAATGGAAGAATTAGGTTAAAGTTTTGAGTGAAGTTCATGATGGTGATTGCTCTCTGCTCTAGGTTACCTAAACCAGTAATTTATAATAGCAGAAGGCTGGTTGCAGTAGCCCTGCTTTGCAGATGTGTTCTAGTCCTCCAGTACGGGATAGCATCTGTATAGATAGCAGTACTTCTGTGTATGTTGTCTGGTGTTGACCATAGGAGTTTGCAGTGGAAAGCCACATATCCTGATTTGGCAGGTCTTGCTTTTTCTGAAGCTGACACTTGGCATGCTTTACATTTTGGCACATAAAACATAGCAAAGTACCAATTACCTTGTTGAAAAAGTTGGTGTATTTTGTTTATATGGCTTGGAAACAAAAATCATGCTTATTTAAGATTGCCAAGGAGTCCTCCAGGGAACAAAATGACCCTGGCTGCAGAGCGTCTTCAGCAAAATGTTGATTGCTTTGCTGTCTCTGTACCATGTCCTCTCCCTGCTTCCTCAGCAAAGCACGCTTCTCTTTTCCTTCTCCCTGAAGGCAGACATCTGTTCGGAAACTTCCGGGAAGAAAATGCAGGGACTAGTTCCAGGTCAGTTGTTTGAAAGCAGAAGCTCAGCTGAAGTAACATGATAGTGAGGAGGAGCCAGATGCCAGCTAGGAACTTGCAGACCTTGTTTTGACCTCCTCCTTTGTCCTGGATTTTGTGTGACTGGCCCAGTCAATTGAGACTTGGCTGTAGGGGCAGTTCATTCAGGGGAGCATCCTGTGAGGACAGTTTTTTCTGGAAGGCGAGTAGTGTTTCTAGCTTGTCTTACTGCTTGCAAAATAACACAGGCTAAAATGGGACAAAGGGTTCCCGTAGCACTGCAGGATCACACTGCGCAGCTGTGCTTCTGGGGAGAGTGGTGAGATTTGCTGGCAGGGTTAGTCCTCCTCTTCTTGTCCTTACTCTTCCCTTATTGTTCGCTGACAAAATACTTTGTTTCTTTTAGTTGCTGTCTTTTATCCTGCAACTTTTCAGATTCTCCTGCTCTTCTGAAATTGCTGTAAACTGCAGCACTGTCTCTGTTTTGCCCCTTGCTCTTGGCATGTAAACCTGACATTCTCTATCCTCGGTAGGCTTTTAAGTGCCATTGGTTGTGAGCTATTTGAAGGACTGTTGTGAATGCCCGTATTAACTAAAGGCAAGAAGGAGCAAAATGTATGCAAAGAGTCCCTTGCTAGGGTGATTAGTAGCATAAGGAAGATGTGTATGGACCTAGCTAGCGGGTAGGTAACACTGGTGGCAATGTGTGCAGCCTGAAATGTGCGCGTCTCATCTGTGTCTGTGCATTTTTGCTTGTCTGTAACTTAAATGCCTCGATGCCTATGTCAGGGCTCCACACAAAGCATACCATACACTTTTCAACTCACAGCTTTATCTCTACTCTATTTTTGGACCGTACTTACAAGATGCCTGTTAAGTCATACAGCTGAAAAGGCAAGGATGCAAAGTGCTGGATCACAGAGACCTAACTGTTCTCCCTTTCCCGTTTACCTTTTTCTTTCTCCCCAGCACATACTATTTTCCAGGTCCTGGTTAGCACTCCGTTGGTACAAGGAATGCTAGTTAGACCCTTCTGAGAAGAGACTTGTGGTTCTTTATTTCTTCCCCACTCAGTGCGTAAGAGTCTGCATCCCTTCTGTGTTATACTCTGCCTTGTGTCCTGTCAGTGTTACCTTTACATTTGTTAAAACCTAGGAATGTCAGGCAGCTCAGACTCTGCACTAGGAACTTCTTGAATACATGCTGTGGTAAGTAGTTACCCTGTGCTTGATCTGAGTTGTCCGTTTCCTGAGAGCGGTATTAATTTGTGATTCAGTTGCTTTAGATGTCTTAGTCATTCATCTTTGTTCTGTTTGTTTAATGCTAATTGTCTTGACAAAACTTTAAACACAAAATAGGAGCCTGCTCGCTCTGAAAGTGTTGCTTGTAAAGCAGAACTTCAGGGGAAGCCCTGAAGAGTGGGGGCAGAGTGCTTAATGAATGTTATCTTTGTTTTAACTCTGCCCTCAGCGCGTTTCAGATTTTCACAGTGGGTGCAAAGGCTGAAAGAGATCACCTTGAACCACCCAGTTACTGCTGAAAAAGTGTGAGGATTACTGCCCTTGCTGGGAACCCTAGCTGTGATGCGCACTGACTTCTTATCACTTGAATGAATGTTGGACCATGCTGGCATTATTTATTTATTTGAATCGTGGGCTTTCTGGTCTTTTGAAGGGGACAGGGAATGTCTTGCTCTTGTACAGTGTTTCAGACTACTTTAAACAATGTGTGGGCCATGATCTTAACCTCAAGGTTGCATGACATAATATGGGAAGAAGTTATAATTCTTACTGTTGTTGTTGTTCTTTGGAGGCAGTATCACTGAAACCTCTTGGCTGAGGTGACACATGGTGTTGACTTCTTCAAACTACCTGTCATTCATATCAGGTACAGTGAATCTCGGGATAGTCTGAGAGGATATAGTGACTATAATCTACTTAAACCATTCCATTATTATAAAAATACTGACACTTAGCCACAGCAGTCTCCCATTATGAGTTTATGGTGTTTATTACTTTATTTCCACTCAATTTGATAGTAAGAGAGGTCAGGTTTTGGCGTCTGTTCTGAAGGAAAATGGACTGGCCTTGTTTTTATAACAGTGGCACAAATGTGCCACGTTAAATCTCAATCCACTTTTTAATGGTGTTGAGACAGACAGTGAAAGATGATGTTTTGATGATGGAGTCTCACAACCTTCTTTATAAGCTCAGATTTTTCAGCTTGACTAAGTCTAACTACAGTTACTTACTGTAGTTACTACTTCACTATAGTTACTACTTCACTTACGAATGGTGTTAACTGAACTGGATGAAAATAAGATGGTAAATCTGATTTGTGACAACTGCCATAATGCAGTGGTTTGAAGAAACAAATGTTAGGTGACCTCCACTGCTTTTGGTAGTGAATGAACACAGAGTTTTGAAGACGAGCTGGAAAGAGCAGGTCGGAGGTGCCTGAGAGCAGAAAAGGGGGTTCGCTGGAAGTAAGCGGTTTCTCAGGCTGGACTGTCAGGAAGACTTGAAGTTTCTTAAATATTTCAGGTCAGTTAAAAGGAGAAGAAGAGTAGAGAGAGGTGATAAGACATGTTGGGCATGGACGAAATAAAAGTGAAGTAAAGGGAAGTTGTGAAGGATTCTGTGGGATGGGAAGCCACTCATAATGCATAAATAGATTGTGGTGTAATGTTTAGAGCACATGGAAGAGAGATGAAGGAAGCTTTAAGCAGTGGCTAAAGGCCTTGTCCTGTATATCTTCCTGCATAGCTTGTCCATCAGCTCTTTTGTTTTCAGTGTTACCCCTGAAACATGAGTTTCTGCCTGTTTTCACTCAGGTCGAGCTAGCTGATGGGGGTTAGGGATTGCAGATAGCTGTCCTAATTGTTTGCCATCTCCCATCATGGCATGGTGCAAAACTTGAATACTGAGTGAATCAAGTCAAATTTTTACAGAACACCTTTAAAACAGGAAGTTAACTCACTGATGCCACAATTTTAAAAATAATTGCTTGGTATGTCCATTTTTTTTGGTGTCGTGAGCAGAATGGGAACAACCCTTCAAGAAAGATTGTAGCTGACTACAGAAACTTTATACTGATGATTTAACTTTGCTTTTTCCTCAATTCCTTTTTTTTCTACAAGGCTTGTTTTCCTGGAATTCCTCTTGTAGTTTGACTGTCTCAGGAAACTTCACAGCTCTGATTAACCACTTGGAAAGCATAGTGGCATATTCCTTTTGCTAACAACAAATTACTCTGGTTAAATATTTATGCAGCCAGCTACTTTGTTGCTAACGCCCTTTTAGTCAGATCCTCTTTTTGCTGCGTCTTGGTGCATAAATAGGTGTTTTACTGTCATTTAGCACCATTCACATCAGTTTGTCCTGCTCCTGAAATTGTCGAACTCTGGAGCTAAGCCATACTTGGTTCTTTATCTATAATTTTGCTTTCCCAATGAACTGCAGTAGTTTGTGGCAAAACTCTGCTGAAAATTCTGAAGAAAAAAATGGATTACAGGCTTGAAGGATGTGTCAAACAGACTTGTTTGAAATAAATAACTGATGCATCAAACCTGTGCCATGAGAACTCAACCCACTATGATCACAGGGGATTGTAAGCATTATCTGTTAGACTTCAAAACAGTTTTGTATCCTAATTAAAAGGAGTATTTTACATTTCAGCCAGGTTCTGGAACATGATACAAAAAATGCGCTCGTGTGGGCAGGCAAGAAGGACTTACTATTGTGGTACATGTGTTAAGAAATACTTCCTTAGCTACCCTTTTCTGGACAGCTTATGGCTGAGAGTAAAATCTGGAATTGAAGTGTAAACTGAAGTGCAGCTGAATGATTTCAGCAAGTAAATTTAACTCTGACATTACAGTAAGACTGTAATAAAGTAATATTCTTTGGTTTTGCTCCATTCACTAAGTACCCTGCCTTTTGTGACAAGTAGTGCTTCTCAGTTGTCTGGCAAAAGTCCAAGGCACTCACAAGAGGGGTAGAGCTGTTTTTTTGTAAAGGAGCTCGAGACTGGTATAACTGAAAGCTAAGCTGGCACTTGATGTGTGAATTATTACTTGGTGCAGTCTGAAGAATTAAAAAGATGTTTTAGATCAACATTTTCCTTTAAAAGTGAAGATAAAAACATTTTAATTTCACCTGTTTCACAAGTGATATGTTGGTGAAGGAGTACCTTAAACAAGGCAAGGGTACCCATAGCGTTGCAAGCACTGATTGAAGGAGGGCTGTTGTGGTTCTCAGAGATTCTTCTTCTTTAAAACCCATGCCTGAACCATGTTGAATCTGATCAGTGAAGTCAATTAACAATAAGCAACTGAAGTTCTTGACCTCCATTGTAAGTGCAACATTCGAAATAAACATGCGTTGTCTAATGAGTAAGTGAACATTGTCGTCTTCCTTTTTCTCCCAGATAATTTCAGACCTCGAGTCTTGGAATGATGAGCTCTCTCAGCAGATGAATGACTTTGACACTGAAGATCTTACAATAGCAGAACAGAGGCTCCAGCATCATGCAGACAAAGCCCTGACCATGAATAACTTGACCTTTGATGTCATCCACCAAGGGCAGGATCTGCTGCAGTATGTCAATGAAGTGCAGGCATCTGGTAAGACGGCTCCTTCGTGCTATTCCAGGCAGTGGCTTTATAAGAATTATCCAGTTGTCTCTCCATGGGATGTGTAAAAATAACAGATGCTGGTTAACTGTAAACTGGAGACATGTGGACAATTTTTTTCCTCTTTTTACTCAAATAATTTGTGTTCATGAGAATATATTGTCATGATAGCATGTAATTTTTATTGAAGAGTTGGCAACACATGAAAATATTTACGTTTTTAAGAAAGGGATTCCACTCAGGAAGTAGTAAAATTAGAGTAAATAGTAGGGAGTTAATTTTACAGTTATTCGGAGCAATGCACTCAAGCCATAATTCTCAGTTTCCAAGCAGTAAGTCTTCCTTTTAGGTTTCTTATGCCCCTTCACTTAATATTTTTAACTGTATACAGTCACCTAGGGTAAATCTCAGGCTGCTTCAAAAAAAAATAAATAAATTGCATTTTTAAAGAGCACAAAAACTATGCTCATTTAAGCAAATGCTCTGAGAATTAAGTTGAACTTTGAGAAGGAACTGGACAAGTAAGCATCAAACAGTGGAAATGGTCTATTTGTCTTCGGAAGACTTGTAAGTCATTTATAACCCACTGGCTGGTTACAGGTGTTGAGCTGCTTTGTGACAGAGACGTAGACATGGCAACTCGGGTCCAGGACCTGCTGGAGTTCCTCCACGAGAAGCAGCAGGAGCTGGACGTGGCCGCCGAGCAGCACCGCAAGCACCTGGAGCAGTGTGTGCAGCTGCGTCACCTGCAGGCCGAGGTCAAGCAGGTAGGCGAGGGCTGTGCTCCGGGACCCCCCCAGAGCTGGTCCACACCTCTTGGAGAGCTCTGTTCCCATAAACAGAGGTAGAAAATTAATTTCTGCTGGGTAAAGTCTTGGATTTGGAGGGGGGAGGGACTTTGAATTGGGCACCTAGGAAACTTTATCCTCTATTAATATTGTGGTTTGGAATTTGCGTTGTCTGTTTTTCTACCTGGATGCAAGTCAAGTATTTGAAGTGTAGAGCCATTTGAACTTATGTTAAATAATCCATACTTTTATCATCTATATGGTGATTAATAAAAATGTTCAGTGATATGCCCTGAACACTGACCGAATACATCTACAAATGGTGATAATGTAATATTAGCGGGGTTTACTTTCCAGGAGAAGAAAAAGGAAGTTTTACTTTTCCTCGCAATAAAGTGTCAAGTTTTGAGGTCCTTATCTGATAAACACCTAAACTTTTGGTGAATTTGAGATGCAGTGGGCAAAACCACTGAAGTAGGTGCAAGTTTAAAAAACAAACAAAACACTAGAAAGGTAAGTCGTTCTGATCTTGCTAACACTTGGTGGCATCGCAGAAGTCCACTAGAGTCTATTGTATTAGTATGTCCCATAATGGCTCCCAATGCAACTTGTCCTTTTTCTGTTTGTCCTGAGCTCTTACAAAATAGATGGATTGTAGACGAATATCCACATTGCACTTAGTCTGTGGTTTGTAGGTCGTTCTGTAAGATCTTTGTAACATTTCTGAACCACTGCTAGCCCTGACTAAAATGGAAGCTCAAGTTTAAATTTTTAAGAAAGCATTGGAAAAAATGAGTTCATCTTACAATAGAGATATAGATAGTATACTCTCCTGTCAAGTTGCCTTTTTTTTAGTAGACTGGGGTTTTGGAGAAAAAAAACTAATTCTATTTATATTTTTAGTACACATCTCTATCGAGTGGGATTTTATGTTGAATTAAATGCCATAATAGACGTGAATTTCAAACAAACTTACATGAACATGTAGCTGACAGAATGTTCGTGTATTACAAACTCCTTTTCCAGATTTTCATTCTACAGATTAACCTGCAATACTTCCCCAGCCTGAAGGCCTAAAAATTGAATGGAACTAAGACTGAATGTTATATTGTCTCATAGGATTTCTTTTGATCCCCTTTGGAATGCTTTGGGGCTAGTAACTTTTAGTTTTGTGATTTCAGTTGCCTTTTCAGAAAACCACATCTGATTTATTTTAGTTTTTACTACATATCAGGAAGCATGATCTCCTCCTGTTTCCTCTGCACTGGGAAAAACTTCATAGCTCAGCAGGTCACAGCAGGTGCTTTACCTGAGAGTAAAATGACACAGTAAACCTCCTCTTCAGTTTGTTTTGTTTGTATTTTGATGCCTGAAGCAGTGAACACATGGTTTTCCAGTTCAATTACTGTGATTTTCTGCCAGATTTATTGTTGATGAACTGGGTGTAATTATTATGTAGATGGGATACTGTCTCCATAGCAAGGATTTTTGACAAGATTTCCATTCGAATTTTTCCTGCCAAACTGACATTACTGCTATTGTATTTTCGCGTATATGTATATATAAAAAAATATAGTAAAAATATATAGCTTGTAGTCATATGAAAAGGTTAGACTGGAACACTGCGGGAATTTTTCGATAGGGTTCATCTCTCAGATTACTGTAATGGAGACCAGCAAACTATGTCCTGTCTTAGTTTTTTAGTCAGATACTTGCAAGGAGTCTTTTCAGTACTAGGTAGTGAAACTTTGAGTTTAGTGAACTCTTATTAAATAAGCACAGAAAGCAGATGAAAACATCCAGTGTTGCTTGTCCCTTAAGTACCATACCAGTTCTGCTTTGTGGCATTGAAGTTCTGTAGATCAAGCCTCAGGACTAGGAGGATGCAGAAGGGCCAGAAGACAAACAGAGGTTTAAAGAAAACCTGCAAAGAATTTGCTTCTCAACTTGACGAGTAATAGGTGCAGAAAAGGCAAAACTAGATAGAGGATTGCAGTGTAGGAAAACCTCAGCACATGGGGGAAGAGGATGCTCACTGAAATAAGGGACCGCTGTACATGGAAGAAACAACATGGAAAGGAAAATGTGACCATTTTATACAGGGCAGAGACATATGAGTCGGCAGAGAAATAGTTCAGAGAATATCTGTCTCATCCAGAACTCCACTTGCACGTTTTCCAGACAAACTTCTTTTTCTCACCTAAAATGTAGCTGCTGGATTACTTATTGCTGCAATTGCTCCCACGTACTTGCTTTGTAGAATGAGTGCTTTGCTTTACTTAACATGCAGCACCTGCATGGGTCAAAATTGTTACCAAGCCCCAAAATGCATTGGTTTTACTATGCTCATTAAGCCTTTTCAGTGCAATATTGTCTGCTGCTCTGATCACGGTGTATGTTCTTGAGTATATACCTGTATATTCATATATACACAACAGTCTACAGGTACTTATATGAAGTACAAGCTTGTACCTTTAAGAGTACTTTGAGGAGCCTTGTATTCTCCCATGCTGACCTTTTAGCTTGGTTCAAACACAGTCCAGTGCTTGAGCTCTGATTGTCCCAAAATACTACTCCGGAAGAGTATCCTGGCACTCCATACAGTGCCATATGGATATGAAAATGTAGCTAGGACAGCAGGCTGAAACAGGTGTGTCTCGTGATCATGTTCAGTTAGAGTGAAAAATTGGTCCATGAAACTAATCTTAAATCAAGCATTTATCTATAGAACTACTTGCTTGACCCTCTCAAGTGTACCAGACTCTCAGTTTCATTTCCACAGTTTTGCTGATGCTCTGCTGATGCTTTTCTAGCCTGCCGAAGACTGGGAGGGGAAAGATGGGGTGTGTGGTCCACCTGAACAGTGAGGTGATGGGAACATGCCAACAAGCACTGGAAGGCAGCAGCTCTGGAAAAAGAACAGGCGTGCTATTTACTAGCGCTTCTGTTTTCCCCTTGAGTCAGAGCAGAGAGAAGGAGAAAGTGCTGCTGGCAACTTCCCTCCTGTGAGTTCCACCAGCTTCTGCACTTGCACCCTAACCTGCAACAAACAGGAGGGCAAATCGCTGTGTTTGAAATGGCAAGTTCTGTGCTAGCTGGCTCTGCTGTGTGTGATGGGGTGCCAAGTCAAGAAGAGCTTTCAATTGGTGCTGCTTAAGCATCCTCCTTCATTATAAATTCTCTGGAGAAAGCTAAATGTATTTTAACCCTAAGAAGGTGTGTTTCATTACACTGTACCTGGAAGAATTATTTTGTAAGGTAGAGAGGGAGCTTAGAAATGCTTTTGTAAGGCAAAATAGAAATAAAAAAGGGATTTAAAAAAAATCTTCTGCCCCACCGTGTTTTTACAGACAAATCCTTTCCTCCAAGCGTAGTTTCTGTCTACAGTCTGTTGGACGCATGTGGTTCCCTCAGAAGTTTCACTTTTTCTTGCTCCTGAGGCTTACCTGGGCTTCCTCCCTTGAGTATTAACAACCCCCAGGTATCTTAAGAACGTAGAGACTCCCAGCTCCTTTCATGGTCCCTTTTGCCTGCCCCACACTGTGATCTGGAAGTGTCTCCTTGCAGCAGGAGAGGCTGTTCCAAGGCCAGAGCTGTCTCCCCTGCTGCAAGGCTCCACCTGACCCAGTGCTTTCTCCCCAGAGGAGCAGAATGTGCACCCAGGTATACGTCTGGGAGCTGCTGTCATGTCCCACATCTACACTGCAGACTTATTCTTTTCCACAGACTTGCAGGTTTTGTATAGAAGAATTCAAATACACGCTATCAGGGGAAAAAAACTTGTTAGCAATTCGTTGTGCAGGCAGAAATGAGAAAAAAATGCGTTACTAATACAACAATATTGCAGTCTGGATCAGTGTAAGACAAAAGGTGAGATTGTGATGCAGATTTGAGGTAATGGATGTTGTGTTAAGATGGCTAGACCTCAGTTGCTTCAAGGTATTAAAGACATGTTAGAGTATACTTTGGATGTAGACCACATGTGCCTTTGTTTTTAAGCATTCGTGTTTTAATAGGCCCTTTGCCTGGTTTGCACCCATGTTTTCAGTCTGCGATTATGCTCATGTCATCCTGATTGACTTAGTAATAACCTGGCGCAGTAGCATTAGTAGTAGCATCATACGTGGATCACTAGATGAGAGTATTTAGTGTTAAGAGCTAATTATGATTTGGTACTTAATAAGTGTTAAGAGCTAACTGTGGTTTGGTAATTAATAAAATTATTACCAGTGGTTAAAGGTCTAAAATCAATTTGTAGGAAAAGGTTAGAGAAGGTGTGCTTAAACTGCTTATTTTCAAATCAACTGGGCCCAGATGAATTCACCCTAGACTACCTAGAAAACTGCCTGAAATGTCATAGACGTTAGTGCTTATCTTCTCCAAGCTTCTGGAGATTGGATGAGATTCTGGAGGACTGGAACTCAACATCTACTTCTGAAAAGCAGGAAAGGATTAGCTAAGGGAGGACTATAGGTCAGCTAGTTTAACATAATTCCCTGGAAAAATATTGAAACAAGTAGATTATTAAACCTGAACAGTGACGAGGTCTTCTGGGTAGAGCTGAAAAAGCAGATGACACAGATCTTCCTTCTATTAAAGCTTTTAAAATAGTTTAGTTCAGTCTATCTGTCCCTAGCTTACTATGCGACTGTCGTATGAGACTACGTTGTTGTGAATAATAACTTGCTGGAAAACCATACTCAGTAACAAAAGTCATTAAGAGACTCATTGGATTGGAAAACAGATTTCAACACTAAAAAAAATCTGTAGAAGTCTGTTTGTGTTTGGATACTAGTTCATGTTTTCAGTCAGAAAATCTACATGTTAGGGTAGAGATTATGCTTTTAAATTTGAAGTTAAAGGCAAAAGAAGCTGGGAAAGGGATTTGAGTTCATCAGAAGATGCTGGAGTGCAGTTCAGAATGGTCTTGATATATGAGAGAATTGCGCTGCAAGAAGGATATGAATTTTATTAGTGACAAATACAGAGTATGATGTACTGGCAGGAATAATCAGCTGAACAAATACAGCACAGGGGTAATTACTGGCTGGGCAGCAGTTCCATAGAAAAGTTGTACAGATCACAGTGAATAACCTGAATTATGCCCAGCTTTACTCAGTATTTGAAAGATTTTGATCAAAGTGATGGTTATCAACTGGAGAGAGCTCGTAAAAGAGCAGTGAGAAAAATCAGGCGGCTAACTTCACTTGGGAGAGGTTGAAGAGACTGGGGTCAACAATAGAAGAGGAGCCTGGAGGAGGGAATCGAGTAATGTTCTTGAGGGAGAGAGGAGAGGGGAAAAACAAAGCTGATGCGAAGAGGGAGGAAATGTTTTGGGTATTTTTGTCTGTCATGGGCAGGAAAAACAAAATGAGCTGAAATTAAAGCGAGAGAGATGTGAGTGTTAGATATTGGAAACAAGACTTCTGGTGATAAAAATGTTTGAGAGTGTGGGATGTCCATTATTGGAGTCTTGAGTAATGAACAAGGCACAGATCTTTTGGGAGGGGCCTTAAGGTTGCAGGTTCCTGCTGTTGATAAGGAATGCACTAGGTGGCCTCTGAGGCTTCTCCCCACCCGAGGATTCTTCTGGTTTCAATGGACATGTCAAAGAAGGGACATCCTGAAAATAAAAAATCTTTAAGCAATTAGAAGACACTCAGTGGTCACATTTTTCTCAACATTAATATTCAAAAGTATTTGCTTACTTTTTACTAAGCTGCATGTTCTCAATTTACATTACTGACACTGGCTCTTAGGCAAATGTTGCTCATAACTTCTTCCTGTTTTCCAGGTGACAGAAATGGTATTCAGAAATACAGCCTTGTTCAGAGCATAAACTGAAAGCACAAGCCTGTAGTAGCTGACTGAAAGATAGGAGATGTCAGCTAAGTGAAATGATAGTGAATGTCATTTGCTGTGTTTATTGAGTATATAATTTGCAGTAAATATATAATTAATAAATTATTTAGTCATCAATTCCAGTACTACATGTGATCCTAAATGTTTTCGTTTCTAGCAATGATGCTTTTCTTGCTGGTTGGCAGTGGAATTGCATATTTCATGGTCTTCTCTTTTGCTACAGGTTTTGGGCTGGATTCGAAATGGGGAGTCAATGTTAAATGCTGGGCTTATCACTGCTAGCTCTTTGCAGGAGGCAGAGCAGTTACAGAGGGAGCATGAGCAGTTTCAACATGCAATAGAGGTAAAAGCACCATTTCAGTGACCATAGCCAAGAATTCCTGTATTACATTTTATGAGTCTCTGTAAATAGCACTGCAGTAAGGAGATGTATCTCTTCTGTCCCTTTTCATACTGTTGGGTTAACGCTACCATGTATTGAGCTTGAAATCATCTTATGGCAAAGAGATAAAAACACTTATTGGGAAGGTGGGGGTTTTGTTCTTGTTCATTTTGGAGCTGCAATTCTAGGTGAGCACATCTTCTCAGTGCCTTTTTGCATCTTTGTAAAGCAATAGCCATTTTTTGATTGGAGAGGAATAAAAAAATTAATAAATCGAACAAGTCTGTTCACAGCAATTTTACCAAAAATGGTGTTTCCCTTTGTTAGAGTACAACAATACAATGCTAATTGTTAAAGTTAAGGATAAATGGAACAGCAAACATCAGTTTTGTGTATTCTCATATGGTCCTTTAATGTTTCCATTTTTGTTTGACAGTATGTTTCACTGAAATTTGTGTGCGGTGGTGTGTCCATCCTCCTGCCATGATTTCAAACTAAACTTACCAGATTGGTCATATCTCTGTGAAAAATAGGCGGAGATCTTAAGATTGACTGGAATGTAATATTATTAAATTATATGTGTGATTGAGGGACTTTAGGGTGATATTGATTATATACAGCACAATTCTTTTTAAGAACTTTACTGTTGTCGAAAGATTAACCAAAGTTATGATCGTTTGGGAAAACTATTTTCACAAGTAGTCTGTTGTGCAATAACTCTTTTCATGTTCGTTTGCCATTCTGTGGAGTTTTATGTTTCCCTCTCTCTGGGTGTTTGTTTTGTTTTGGTGTTGTGGTTGTTTTGGGGTTTTTTTGGTTTTGGTTTTTTACAGTTTGCACTATATGTACCTTCACTTTGAGAGCTTTGGTAACTCTTAAGTATAAAAATCATGAGACCTCTAGACATTTTTCAATTTAAGGAAAGATGATTAGGAAGCTTAAATTCTGAGTTTTCTGGATCATACTGGATATGATAATATCTATTATAGTTAGAGGTTCCAGATTTTATGCAAGTATATGTTTACACAGAGAACTACAGTTAAAAATCTGCTTACGGTGAATGCAGAGTTGTCTCTTGTATTGTCCTGCATGCTTGCACCTTCATTTGCTCACTACTAATGTGCAAAAGACTGCAGTAAAGCTGTGAGGACAGTAATAGCAATCAAGCCAAAATAAGATACATCCTTTCCATCTTTTTCCTCCACAGCATGAAGGGAAAGAAAATCAACCTGAAATTCATAATTATGACAAAATGTACTGCAACGTAGGTATGCCATGTGTGGCTTAATGCTATGCAGTGGCTGTTGCTTGTAAACTGTTAGTCGTTGTTGATTTGATGATACACCTCTACAGGATTTATTTCCTTTGTATTTGCATAAGGGAAGTCATGCAGTGACTAATATTAGACAGTTATTTTTAGTTAATGGGTGTTAGTGCATGTATATAGAAGTGTCATTGACACAGTGGAAATGTGAGCCTTTGAGGTCTTCAAGAAAATGAAGTGTTCCACTGAACTCCTGAATTTTCACCTCTTGTCAGAAAACGCATCAAAGTGCTTTTTTCTGCAATGCTGCAGGCTAATCACTATGACATGGATATGATCCGGGAGTGTGCAGAGAAGGTTGCTTCCCATTGGCAACAACTGATGCTGAAGATGGAGGACCGTCTCAAGCTTGTGAATGCCTCTGTTGCCTTCTATAAAACATCTGAACAGGTACAGAAATGCTACATGATCTGTGTCGGCCTTGGTTAATTCTTCAGTGTGGCATAAAACAGCATTACCTAAAAAAATGGTTGATCAGGTTTGGTTATATTTACTAATTTGATAACAATTGCAGTTATACAAAAAGTGCAAAAAGCAAATCCTTTTACCAGCTGCCTTAGAGAAACTATGTGTTGCAGCCTTTCAGTATATAAAGTGGTCTTATAAGACAAAGACCTGTAGTGACAGGACAAAGGACAACGGTTTTAAACTCAAGGAGGGTAGATTTAGATCAGATACAAGGAAGAAATTTTTTATGATGAGGGCGATGAGACACTGGAACATGTCGCCCAGAGAAGTTGTGGATGCCCCATTCCTGGAAATAGCAAAGTCAGGTTGGACGAAGCTTTGAGCAACCTGATCTAGTGAAAGATTCCTGGCGATGGCAGGGGAGTTAGACTAGATGATCTTTAAAGGTCCCTTCCAACCCAAACCAGTCTATGATAAGTAAGTAGTGGACAAATTGTACCAGCTACTAAGATACTACAGTGTAATTGATCTGGCTACACTTGCTTCAGTTAGCAAACTTCAAACAAAGTACACTACCAAAGTGCAGTGCTTATTGGTGAAGACTCAAATCTTCATCTGCCTTTTCTATCACTCTCCTCTTTAATATTCCTCAGATTCTTATTTTTAATTGAGAAAAGTCTTGTAAAACATTTTTAAGATGAAACACACTGTACAAGTGCTTAGTTGGATTTCTGCTTGGTTTTGCTTAAACCATAAACAAGTTACGCAGAGGTTTTAATGGAAGTACTTCAGATGGCTAATTCTGATTTTTGTGTGAGAGTCAGAGAAAAACCAGCTTCATCCTACTTGTCTGCAGAAGAGTTAAGGGGAAGGCTGGCAAGGTTGCTGCCTCTGCAGTTGTGTCTTAAGCCCATCCTGAACTATGCAGTCACAGAGGTGGAGAAAGATGAGCAACTTTAGGGATAGCCTTCTGAGCAATTCCACGTAAGCAGGCCAAGGCTTGCAAACCTACAGCCAAAGTTTGTTGCCTTCTCTTAAGTTCCAGTCAAAACATGTCAGAAGCTAAGGTACCTGTAAGGGGTAGATTGGTTTTCCATTTTTTTGGCTTGAATTTGGAATTTTTGTATTACTGAATTATATTCGAGTTGGACTCCTTCCTGATAGGTGTGCAGCGTGCTGGAAAGCCTGGAGCAAGAATATAAGCGAGAAGAAGATTGGTGTGGGGGAGCAGACAAACTGGGTCCCAACTCTGAAACAGATCATGTTACTCCCATGATAAGCAAACACCTGGAACAGAAGGAGGCGTTCCTAAAGGTAGGATTGCTATTTTTTTTGTGGTCATCTTTGTCTTGGGAAGCATGCAGTCAAATGCTCACTCTTACACTGCTGAAACATATGTGGAAAGCAACAGTGCCATTCAGAAGCTACAGGTATGTCCCAAACTGCAAAGATGTGGGAAATGGCACGTTAACTGCTTCTGACAGTGATAAGGAGAATACTGCCAAGTGCATAAAATTGTAGCCAGTTTTATAAATATATTTCCTGTTGAACTTCAATAGATGTCAGGTCTCCCACTGTGACTGAAGAGGAATTGGGAATCACTGCTTTGAGCAACTGTCATTCTAAAGAATGCTTAAAGGCTGCTGCTTTGGAAGAGAAGTGACAGTCACATAGTACCATTGCTGCCTGTGCATCAGAGCTGCTCTCAGATGTACTTGGACTACAGTAGAGTACAGAAGGAGGAAATTACTAGACAAGCATCTGGGAGTAGTTGGGTTTGTGTAATATTCTGCAGATAAATGAAAAGTTTTCATTCCAACTAATGTCCTAGTGAAGAGGGTTATTGATCTTACTGAATAAATGTGGAACGGATGCTTGCAAAGCAGTGTAACTAAGCCTGTAACCAAAGGCTTTTTCCAGCATCATCTCGAAAGACACTAGAGTGTTAAAACTTAGTTTTATTAAAAGCCTTTTTGTTCTCAGTGCACAGATGAGAACGTTCAAAAATGTATTAGCATAGCTCTAAGTATACTGTCATATAGATCTTTCTGCAGCTGGCATCTGAGCTTTCAGTTTCTGTGTTAAAACAATGTGAGAAATGACTTAGTGTCTCTCTTACTGGATCTAACCATGCTACGTTTATCTAACCTTTTAAAGTAGTATTTCATGTTCTGCTTATTAAAAATAAGGCAGCTGGCCCATATGTAGTACTTGGTGTACATTAAGATGAAGGAGGCAGCTGAGCTGAGTGTTGGCAATACAGTGATGAGGATTGAAAGCTCTCAAGGCCTTGTCTTAGTATTTTAAGGGCATGTCTTAATATTTTAGCACTTTCGGTTTCACTTCAGTGGAACATTTACTTTTTGTTTAAAGTAGCGGTGGACGTTTTGGAATATCCAGTTGATTACATAAGCTTGTGCACTCTGTTTACACAATAAATAACTTCAAGTGGCATGTGCCACGTACACAAAACAAACTTCTCTGTCAACTCTGAGTCATGCTGAAAGCTCTAGAGCAGGTAATTGCTTTCCAGGATCTTCAGAGAAAAAGTAATAGCTTTTTTTTTTTTTTTTTTTTTGCATGGAAAGTAAGATCTTAACGTTTTT